GGGCTGTGTGAGGCGGGGGGCTGTGTGTGTGTGTGGGCCGTGTGAGGGGGGGCCATGTCTGCTGCCATCCTGACAGCTGGAGCAGAAAGTGAACCGGTTCCCGTGGGGTGCTGGCAGTGACCCTTGTCCACGCATTTTTTTTCTAGTGGATTCCTGTCACCAAGCTTGGTCGCCTGGTCAAGGATATGAAGATCAAGTCTCTTGAGGAGATCTACCTCTTCTCACTTCCAATCAAGGTAAGCTGCTGTGGGCATTTAAGTAACATGTAGCAGAATCTTAATTTGAAATGTAGAGTTGGCTGTCATTGTTGCACTTGCTGTTTGGGATTCTCAGCTTAAGTGTGTTCAAGTTAAAGACATAAATCAACAGAAGGCGAGGACTGATGCAGTCAGCTGTAGCGAAGCATGGTGGGTTTTGTGTTGCATTCTGCCTTAGGTGGAGATGGTAGCACATTGCTCAAGTGTTTCTGTAATAGTTCTGCTCAGTGATGGAAAAAATGAAATTTTGACTTGATATGTTGGATTGCCTAGCAAGCTAGAATAAGTTTATGCCTGCAAAATTTAACGTGTTCAAGTACCTATTATTTAAAATATCTTTGTATAGGATTGTTGAACTTGAATTGTAGGAGCCTTAATAGCTGTGTTTGCTTTGTTTAGAAAGTGTGGCCTTGTGTAATTAAATGACTGACTCTTGTAGGAGTCAGAGATCATTGATTTCTTCCTGGGGTCTTCCCTGAAAGATGAGGTTTTGAAGATCATGCCTGTCCAGAAACAGACTCGTGCTGGTCAGCGTACCAGGTTTAAGGTAGCCTTTTTCTTCTCTTTTCTCACAACAAAAACTTCGTGTGTGTTGTCTGCTGGTTTTTCCGTATTGTATTAATAACTTAGTTCAAATGCCTTTATTTTCTTCTGTAGTATCTAGCAAATTTTTTGGTATGGGGATCAGCTTGTGTAGCTTACGAAGTGTTTGTATTAATTTTAAAACCCTAGTAATATGCTGAGATGTTATTTGAAACAGCCTTAGCACAAAATTAAGTCGCACTTGTGCAGCAGTGCTGGCTCTTCAGGGGCTGTGGTGGAGAGAGAAGTCTTGGGTGTAAAGAGGGAATGCTGCTTGGAAATTATCCAACTTTTGACCAGTACGAGGCTGTAGCAGGGATTTGAATCCTAGTTCTTCATCCATAGCTGTTTTTGATGGAAGGATGAGCTCTAAGAGGAAAAATGGGCTTTTTGAAGTGCGAGCTGTGACTGTTTGCTGCTGAGCGCACACCTCGGGTTGCCCTTGGCGGGAGACCCTGACGGATCGTGCTCCGCTGAGAAGAGCGTTCTGCACAGCACAGCCACCACTGAAAATTTTTCTTTCAATCCTAGGCTTTTGTCGCTATCGGGGACTACAACGGCCACGTTGGTCTTGGTGTTAAATGCTCTAAAGAAGTTGCCACCGCTATTCGCGGGGCGATCATTTTGGCCAAATTATCCATCGTACCTGTACGACGAGGCTATTGGGGGAACAAGATCGGCAAGCCCCACACTGTGCCTTGCAAGGTGAGAATGACTTGCCGGGCCTGCTCTCGGCGATGGTGCCATAGCGTCTGTTTTGGGAGCCGTGACGCGTTGTGTTTGCATAGGTCACTGGCCGGTGCGGATCTGTCCTGGTGCGTCTGATCCCGGCGCCCCGTGGTACGGGGATTGTGTCTGCCCCTGTCCCCAAGAAGCTCCTGATGATGGCCGGTATCGATGACTGTTACACCTCGGCCAGGGGCTGCACTGCCACCCTCGGCAACTTCGGTAAGCTTTAGGTTTTTGTGCTGTAGCTTAGCTGTGTGTATTGCCGTTTTTGTCACTGACATGCCCATTTCTATAGTATTTTTATTCTGTGTTGAATCAAAAGCTTCTAGCAGCCAAGCAGAGGCAAAGACTTCTGATACCTTTAACGGTGCAGGTTAGTCCTGCTGTAGATGATCTTGAAGTTCTGTAAAAATTAATTACAAGAAACTGTTTTTTTTATACGTGCACGGATATTAAAAAAAAGAAATCTCCCAATCTGCGCGATTGCACTTGTTTGAAGTAGTGTAATTGTCGTAAATGGCGAGAGAAAGAAACTCGAGTTTTGAGCGTATACCAGAGAGACCCTGCTGTGATCTCCCTGTTCCCTTCGAAATTCTACATTTTTGGAGCTGGGTGGGTGCTAGCGAGCGGGTTTCCGTAGCCCTGCTATGTAACGTTTGACTTCTGTCCGTAGCTAAAGCCACCTTCGATGCCATCTCCAAGACCTACAGTTACCTGACCCCCGACCTCTGGAAAGAGACTGTCTTCACCAAGTCTCCTTACCAGGTGAGAGTATTTCTGCAGTTTGCAGCTCAAATCTCACCCTCCCTCCCCTGTAAAGCTCAGGTGCTGTGCCCAAAGAGTTTGCAGCTGAATAGTGGGAGAGGGGAGTCGCAGTCGGAGCTGACTGCCAGGTAGAGTGTGAATTTTCAGCATGCGGTTTTGACTAATACTCGAAAATGGCATTTCATGGATAAAGGAAATAGGAAGTGGGAAACTTTGAAATACTAAGTAAAAATAAGTTGTATCTGAACTACCCTAGCCCCTGCCTACATGCTTTGTTGGAAAGGGATGCAGTGCTGAGAAACCTGTGATAGTGGCTTAAGAAAATAAACAACTGGTTTTTGTTTGTTTGTTTTTCCAGGAGTTCACTGATCATCTGGCAAAGACCCACACCAGAGTCTCGGTGCAGAGAACCCAGGCAGCTGCTGTGGCAACGACTTAAGTGGTTTTTGTACAAGACAATAAAGTGATCAGTGAACAAGAAATTGCGATTGGCTTGACGGGATGATTAATGCATTGGGCAGATGGATTAAACCTCTGCTGGGGATTTGAGTAGGTTCACCTCTGTGGGCCAGAGCCTGACCGTCTGTTGAATGAAATAGCGTGTTACGTTATACTAATCCTTGTTAATCATGTATTAATCCTAAATGGGGTCCAGAACCAGCTCTGCAGATTATGTGCTGTCCTACAGCACGCAGTCCTTACCCTAACTGAGGGAATTCTCTGCCAGGGCTGGGCAGAGCAGTACAGTGTGTTTCTGTGGTTCACGGAGGTGGGGGAGAGGTCCTGAGGGGAAGTCCCAGCTAACGCAGCCAGGGGTGCCTGGAGCGAGGGGCTGACCGTGGTTTAGAGGATGGTAACAATCAACTGGAATTCAGCAGAGCTGAAAAAGGCAGAATTCTGTAAGCGTTTGCAGATCTCTCCAAAGAATGAGTCTAGAGTCTCGTCGTATGGCAGATGTCTGGCCTGCACATTTATTGTAGAGCTCAACAGCGTCAAAGATGCAACATGCAGTATTCGATACAAGCACCACAGAGGGAGGTGCTAACCATTTACATCTACTGAGACGCGCTTGCTTGCGCCTTCCTCTCCTCCATCATCCTGTGCTTCTGCTTCATCAGGCATGTCCTTGCATTTCCATGGACACCAAGATCACCATCTAAAAAGGAAGTAAATCTCTGAGGAGCGCCCCTCAGCAGCTAAAAAGAAACAAGCCTCTGTTCCGTGTGGAAGTCGTGCCTTAAGACCCCCGTTTCCCCGCCTGCTGTCACGGCCGCGGCAGAGGCGCGCGGGTGTTACCGTACTCACATCGGTCCTGGTAGGCCTTGGTGACCTGCGCCAGCTGCTCCATCTCCTTGGCGCAGTTCTGGAACTGGTTGGGTCCTTCCCTCTGCTTGCAGGCGCCCAGCCTCTCCCGGATTATCTCCACGATTTCCTGATCAACCATCCTGCGGGAAAGATGATGACAAATGCAGCCGCAGCCAAGAGATGATAGAAAAGCTGAACAAAGGGGCGATGATGCCCTGTGGAAGGTCAGCTCTGGGTTTTTACAGGATCCTGGTCTGTCCTGCAGCGGTGCTGCAGGAACCAGGCAGCGCAGGAGGGGAGGTGTCCTAATGCCACCCTGCTCAGCTCAGGTGCGCTGCAGGGGAGAGCAGGATTATGAAATGGGTGTTCTGTAATGAAGTGGGCAGGAGGTGCTGGCTCAACACCCCAAACTCTGCAAAAATGCTGTGGGTTCAAGCCAGGCGCTGCAGC